ATGGGTATGTTCAGAGAGACAGAGGTAGATGTGCAACAGAATGAGAAACAAAAATACAGAGACAACTATGGATTATGTGCAGTAGATATGGAAAGTCCCCACTAGAGAGCTATCTTTATTACTCCAAGAGATTATTTTCCTCATTTTATGCACATTCATATAAAGTGAAGTCAAGAGTATAACTTTTAAAGGTTTGGATGAATATGATGTTCATGACTAAATAAGTCTGGCTGGAGCCAGGCAGAATATCATCAGATGCCAGGCAAGTCACCCCCTCTGGTCCTCCTCCCTCTTCAGTACACTTGCCAGGACATTTCAACGCCCGCCAACCTCTAGCAAACGCTAAGCTCTTTTAGGCTCTTTCTGACTTGAAGATGCTTTACGAGTACACCCTTAGTCCCAACCTGCACTCTCCTCCCAGCCACTGAAATCTCAAGAATTCTAGAAGGCCATATAGGATACCAACCTTTTTGAAACTTCACCAGTTTCCACTAAAAGACACACACACCCTCAAAGCTTTCAAAGCTAATCTTACTCACAGCTCTGGTCTTGGTCCTCTTGGCTCAAAAAAGAAGTGGCTATCTGTATTCATGTTCCTAAAGGACACTTCCCCTTCCATTTGTGGGTGTAAACAAGAGCAATCATATCTGATTTTAAGATTGATTCAAATGAAGAAAATACATTTCAAATTTTTAGTGTATCGTAGAATAATAATAACTAGTTCAAAGTACCACAAAATGTATTCGGAAGGCTCTGTTTTTGTTTGTTTAATGCCAAAGCATCCAATGTTCCACGTGGGAAACATTAGTTTCCAACCTCACCACATCATCCTCTCTGTCCATTCAGGCATCTCCTTTGGAAATCTGTATCCCCAGAGAGCCTGCCAAACAAGTCCTTTGAATACTTCTACCTCTGGGTGGCAAAATCATCATGAAATGTTTGTTAAAATCTGTGATCAGAGGCTCTTGGGATCATGTTTCTAATCATTTTAAATGATGGTATTTCAAACAAACAAACTGGATATAAAATCTGTACCTTCCACCAATGTCAAAATAAGTTCTATTCAAATTTAGTATTTGAGGTGATGGACACATGACAGCCTTTACATTGAATTCTTTCAGAGTCTGGGAGAAACACACTTGACTTCTTGGTACCTCAATATTGTAGACTGCCATTTAGGGATAACAGAAGTTACTCACCGGACAGCAAAGTTGTGAGGAATATCCAGTTAGTGATGGCGAAACATTCTGAAATGAAAAGAATATCATAAATGCTGGGCATTTAATAAATGCATGACAACACGATGATCATGGGGGAAAAACCCATCTGCTTCTCACCTTGGGATGCTGACTCAGTGATACTACACAGACAGTAAAGGAGACTTCTTTTTGGGAAGGACATACAAGTGTACGCTGGGAAAGGGGTGTGTGCAGCTGTCTGCGGGCTCAGCTTTAAGGGCTCGAACCAGTTGCAACCAGTTGTGGATGACTTGCTGCCCATTTTTGCAATTCACTGTAACTTGTATTGGGAAAGTTATGTTTTATGGTTAATTATCCATGGTCTGTTTGAAAAAATAAATCAAACCATTGTGAACCACCAGGATTTGCAGCTCCATTTGAACTTTACTGTACTTTTGATTAAACATTTTTGTAAATAAAAACAAACTGGTTTCTTCTTGTTTTTGGTTGTTTGTTACTTGTGTTCTGGATATAAATATTGTGGCAATAGTGGGAGAACGAGTTATGGATTATTTACCCTTGGTTTCATGAGTTGTGAGTTACTGGCCTTATTCTCCTTCATGAGTATAAATAAATGTATAGTATTAAATTCCAAGTCCTGTAAGACAAATGGAACGACTGAACTGAAACCTTTTAAAACCAAAACCTTTTATGCTAAGTCACAGAGCAACAAAACAAACCCCAAATTAACATTTAAAAAGCTTCTACTGTGGAGCAACAAAATCCCCCAATATTATATAATCTGCATTTTAAAATCTGCTTGCCTAACGAGCAGCAGTCTATCAATGATTCCACATGCTTGTCTTTTCACTGCTTTTATAATTTAGAAGCCATAGGTGGTTTACCAGAGATCACCTCCCACCCTCAATATCATCACCAGAAAGGAGCCTTGAAAACAACCAGCATAACTAACTAAAGTAAAAACTGATTTAGAAAGATCTGGAATTATTGTAACTAAAAGTAGTGAAACTCTACGTAAAGGAAGAACTTTATAAAAATTTGTCTATGGTCTTCATCCTGACACTTATATAAATAAAAGGAGCCTGAAACACAATTGTCCAGGGAAAACGAGAAAAGCCAAGATTCAAAGGACCTATGGCACAGGGCAAGAAGAATGTGTTTGAAACCCAGAATCCGAAGCTCCCAACACATCTGCCTATGGCACTTAATGAGGACCACCAAAGTAGCTTGCCAAAAATTATGTTTTAAATGATCTACTGTTCCATGCAGCACTGACCACTGAAAAAGACCTCTAGGAAACATACAATTGCCTTCTGCTATTTGCTACTTTTATAAAGACAGAGACAGGATAATAAGGGCTTTCTTATAAAATGGGGTGATCTGTCCATCGCTGGGACCTGAAGAGAACTGTATCAGATTTCATCTTACCCTTCCTTCCTCTCAAGGTTTGCTGCTCACCTGCATAAGCACTGTGAAGGAATGGCTATGGAAGGCCCCTCACCAGCTCACAAAAACGTGGTAAAATATTTATGAAGGGGCTACTATTTGCAAGGCACAGCTAGAGTAATTCTGCTTGGGAAGGTAAGTCAGTGGCTAAGGTTCTTGTGGCAACATTTAAAAATATCTCTTACTACTGCCAACGGGGAGGAGAAGTGAGGTTGAAAGTGTTACGAAGGATTTCTGAAGAGTTAGAAACTGTTTAAAACTCTCCCTGGCTTCTTGGATGCCTTGGGAACAGAAAGTTTAGGCCTGTCGGCCCTTCGAAGCCTGGATCCCACATCACCAAAGGAAAACTCGAAGTAGCCTATATGTTTTCCAAGGTCCTGGTTACAACTGAAAAGGAGGGCTGACCTGAATCAGTTGGCAGCCATCGGACGCTGAAAGGTCAATTCTGCCCTAAGTATGATTCAGAGAGTGTAAAAACCCACCGAAAATGAAAACGGAAGCTATTCTGAGAAACAGGCAGAAAAAAAAGTTTGAAGATATTTTACTTGAAGACATTTTCCTCTATTTCTTTTATAATACACACCTCCAACTCTTTTTGACAACCAAGAAAACGCTCTAGCTATAGAATTCTAAGTTTTCTTTTAAATCCAGGCAGCCCATCTGAAACTCAGGATATACAAAACGACTCCTAAGTGCTTGGTTACAGATGAATAATCATGTTCAAATCGTATTATAAAGTATGGCATTTTACATGATGCAGGTATATACGTACAGAATTGCATTCCTGGAATCCAAACTCAGCCATGACACATGGAGAGGGACACTCAGAAAACGTATACCTAGGAATATGATTTCCTGGTGAAAGAACAGAGTATTCTGACCAACTTTCCTTATTTTTCCCCAAACAAATTTACCTGAGCTATAGATCCTTTTAAGAAAAAAAAAAAACCAAAACAACAACAACAACAAAAAAAACCAGGAAGCATACTGATAAAATACCTAAAAAGTATATACGAGCTCACTCATTATACAATAAGACAACTAAAGATGCCCCCTTGTCATCACAGATACAGAGACATGATAATCCCAATCCTCTTGATCACTCAGTTGCTGCAAAAGAGACACACATTGAGGCACTGAGACCTTTAAAAACCAGATAAAACTCTCCTGGCTATGATTTTTATCTTTATGCACCAGATTTTTCCATACAGAGAGAATCCTAAATTTAATAGCTAACACATAAACAAAATAGGACATGGCCAAAATCTTTTTTTTTCTTTTTTTTTTTTTTAACGTGCAGGCACACTCACTGCTTATCTTCGGTAAAATCAAAGGAACCAATTTCATCTGGCTTTTCCATCCAGAAGGAAAGTACAACCTGGAGGAATGTTCCTGATCTCCAGTACAAGGGGATTCATTTCCTTGCCTCCCCGTCTTGGATTGCATTATGAGTGATTGGAACTAGTACCAGCCACCACCTCTCACACATATTTTCCCCTAGCAGATACCCACCAGTGCCTAGGCCTGTGCACCCATTTTATGAACATTCAATAGGCAGAAACTACAAAGGAAGAATAAAACAAAACCAGAAAGTCTTCCAACTTCCCTCATCAAGTGCATGTCTGATTCCCAGAGGACATCAGTCCATTAAATGAAATAAAATATTATAAACGGGGACAGAAGACTAATAGACCTCATACAAATCTCACTGTGTTCCCACTTAAGCTGGGTAGGGAGTTATTCTGGTGAAAAAGTGGGGGGGTGGTGTGGGAAAGGAGTGAAGGGCTACAAAGAGACAAAGAGACTTAGAGGTGGTGCAATGAATTCCCTGTGCCAGGGAAGAGTGTGACAGAAAGTTCTAAATGGAAATTCCAGAAACTGCAGGCTCCTAGCAGAACTGTTGTTTAGGGGATGAATTCTATAGGGAGTTTGAATTAAGTGTCTGTGCTATAGCATCTATATGTTTCTTCTTTCATTAAGACTTTGGAGTTTGTCATGAGAAAACAAAACAAAACAACCCAAAAAACATTAGAGCTTTCTACAGCCCCCAAAGTAAAAGGCGAGAGAAATACGGGGTTTATATAACTGGCTTTTTACATAAATATTACATCAGGATACATTGCAAATGAAAACACACACACACACACACACACACACACACACAGCCGTCTTCCTTATTCTCTATTTTAAAATTCATTTCATACTTTAAATGTTGTTGATTTTTCACAAAACAAGTAAAAACCAAGTCAGCATTAAACACCTCAGAATAATTTCAGTCTTATATTACTTGAAAAATTCACCACATCATGGAGGGTCACAAAATCCTGTTTTAAAGTCACTGAAGGCACTGACAATTATGGGATGTTTTGCTGCAGCCTAGGGCAACTAGAAATGGCCACGGATGTTAACTAACTCCCTCCTCAACAGTCTGAGAAAAGGGAAAAAAAAACTGTAAGTTTCCCCATCTGTTATTTCCTTTTTTTTTTCTTTTTGGCTGTGGAAAAGTAAAATTATGCAAGAGCTTTTGAATGTAAAGGCTGTGTGTGCTTTTTCCCTTTTTGTCTCTGTGTACCGGTTTTGTGATGTTGCGTAACTGAGTACAGAGTAGGCGGTTAGCGTTTACTATTGATTTACACTATGCCATCTAATGAATTCATAGCACTAAAAAGAAAGGAACGAGAGGGGGAGGGAGGAAAAAGAAAGGAGAGGACGGCAAGAGGAAAAAGGAAGAACAGAGGAAAGAGAGAAAGCTTATTTAGAGACACAGTTCTAAAGCCTAGAATAGTTTCATTCTTGTTCCCTCTAGCTCTGACTTCTGGTTATTGTTCAGGTCTCAGAAAAATGGACTTTGAGCTAGTGACCCCAATATTCCAACCTTATTTCTAACTAGGATTACTGGCAGGTAAATGTATGAAAGTACTAATGTGTCAAATTACTTGAAAGCAATTCCACTCAACTGTCAGACTTCTCCATATGCACTTACTATCAGTGTCTCTATGCATTTGTGCCTCTGTATCTGTGATAGCCAATGCTATAGTCCCACTAGTTTACCTAGTCCCAAATACTATTTGAAAGACACACGAGGCAAGTAGAAATACGTTCTACCTTGCCCATCTCCTTTTCAAATTGCATGAAGAATGCATTTAGAAATCTTTGAAGAGGTCACGGTTTTACTTCGGAAGAAGATACGCCACCGATTATTTGGCTACCCAGAACTGCCTAATACAGGATAATCAATGAGAAATGGGCAAAAGGAGGAAATCTTCTAAACTGATGAACAACACTTGAAAAAGAAATTCAAATGATTTCTTACATCATGCCCATGGCGAGCACTTAAAATTTAACTTTTGATCAAGATGATGATAGACATTCCTAGCCCTCAGTGTTTCCCATGTCGTACTGTGAGTTCCTAAATCATAGGCCAGAAAGTAAGAGTGAAGTTGGTTCTGCTGCTAAGGACAGGACCTTCCTGCACCTGAGTGCCCTCCTCTGGCTGAGAATAACTAGTAAGGTGAGGAAGAGAAAGAGAAGTTCTCGTTATTAGCAGCCAGCGCAAGGACAAGGCAGGGAGCTTGTTTCCTTCCTCAGTGTGGGTTTGGAAATGGTGACTAGGAAAAATCACAGCCAAAAGAAAGAATAAGAATGTGAGCTTTCATTTCTCATCATCCAATCATCTCTTTTCACCCAATTTAGTGTATTAAATATTAAACCGATGCCTACTCATCCATTTGTCAGGGCTGCCTTAATAATGGATGTTGTGTGTTGAGCACCTAGCACAGTGCCTGGCACATTCTCTATGCTCAGCAGGTATTTGTTGAAACTGTAAAATGATTATGGAGAAACATCTCGGTAAGAAAAGTAGCTTAAAAAGCCCAAGAAAAACACATTCCCATGATTTACAGGAATTCTTAAGCTATGTTACTCTATGATTTTATCTGTAGACACAAAATGATGGTATAGAGGAAGTATCAGACAGTTATTTGGGGACAGTTGTGTTCAGTTCCATTTTATTGGAAAAAGGCTTAACAAAAATTATAATGCTGATAGCATCAGCAAAGTTTTGTGTTCGTTTCCACTAGCCCTTTTGGACTATTTTTCATTTCAGTCTTGGGCACAGATAAGTCCATTTTTATTTCCATGGACACATTCTAAAGGAGGAGTCATGGGATATCAACATAATTCATCTTTTAAAAAATACTGAGAAGAATGTAGCCATTTAGTAATGGGAGAGAATATAGCTTTTTGTTGAAGGGCAAGGCAGGTTGAGTTTTGATTAGGTTATGCAAATTTAAATTAATAGCAGGGCAACCAAGAATGTACTGATTTCCATTTTCTTGGTTAAACAGGAGTTTTATAAGAAAAATATTCTGGATTAGAGAGTCAGAAATGCCATCTTTCAGTGAATTGGTGAATGAGACCTTTAGAGGAAAAGTTGCATGGGCAATCTCTCAAAAATTCCAGTTGAAGACTCAACTAAAAGCACGTTTGGCAGTGTCAGCCATAGTAATTTTTAAATAGTGGGGCTACCATCTTGCTAATTCATCTAGGAACGGGCATATACATTTCAGTCAAAACCTTCAAAAAGTTTTTTTTTTTTTTTTACTTTGATCAATGATATAATCTAATCAAATTTAGCGACTTCCTTAAATAAGCATCCTGGCAGTATACTGACAAGACCATCCCACATGCTCTGCCATTTTATGGATTCTAAAAAATGAATAGGAACTTGCCTGGACCCCTCATTTTATTCACGAAGATTCTGAAGCTCAGAAGGTAAGCTTCTCAGGAATATGTATTTTGAGACAAAGCTGGAACTAGTAGCTAAAGCTCCTAGTTCCTCTCTTCACAGCATAGAATAAGTTAATATTGTATCAACTGAATCTTATTTTATTTTTTGGCCTTTCTTTCTTTCTTTTTCAAGTTTTTATTTAAATTCCCATTTGTTTACATATAGTAAAATATTAGTTTCAGGATGAATCTAATTTTAAATGCCATAGAGAAAGATCTGAAAAGATTCTTTTATAAGAAATCTTTACATTATGGAATAATGTTCACTTTAAAGCTGTTTTATAATTCATTTTTTATCTTTAATCTTTCCTCCTCTTTCCATTCTTGCTTTTATTCTTTGGATATTTGGATACAGTCACTTTTAACTCTCTTTCTAGTTCACTTATTCCCATTCCTAACCTCAGCTCTTTCCTTTCTCTCACTCTGCATCTCTTTCTCCAACTTTTGTTTATTACTCTTCCTTATAAAAATCATTATTTTGTTCATGTGCTTTGAGATCCTTAGAAGTCATAAAGAAAAAATTTGCATTTAACATTATACAATAAATAGGCTTTTCACATATACTCAAATTAAAAAATAAAATCTTCAACATGATACTAACAATGTAGAGGCTTTGTCATTGGATGTTACAGCTGTGTAAACCCCGGCCCTGTCAATGAGACTGGAGCCTATGTTACAAGGAATCTCATCAGATGGAGAGCAAAGCTCACAATCTCCACACCACTCATTTTCCACTTCACCATGTCACCTTTCTTTTCCCTGTCTTTCCATTCCAGAGATACAACTATTTTCGGACTGATTATGGCATAGCAGAAAAAGGTCCAGAGAAATCTGGTGGCTTAATGTGGCTTCATGATACTGGCCAAACTCTCTCAATGCCAAAAAAAAAAAAAAAAAAAAAGTCAGAGAGACATACATACAAAATTTGCAGTTACAAGGAAAGTAAAGTCTGAGGAGATTAAAAGAGAACTTGGACATGAGAATGAGGTCCCTGGATAACAGGAATGTTGCTGCCAGAATCTAATTAAGATTGTGTCATTGTTTCCCTTATAAAATGTTAACTCTTAGGGGTTTACAATGCAGCTAAAATTTTAAGGCTGAACACAGCTCCAAGTATCTTCAAGTGGGAAGTATTTTTTCCCCTCTTTATTCCCTAAAAGAGAAAACATAAAGTAACTATTCAGAAATTTCAGTGGCATTTGGATTCTGACCTGATACCTTTCTCCAAAAAAAGACTAGGTGCAGGGGCCTCAGTTGGTTAAGTGTCAAACTCTTGCTCTTGGCTCAGGTCATGATCTCAGGGTTGTAAGATTGAGCCCCACGTGAGGCTCTGCCCTGAGCATGGAGTCTGCTCAGGATTCTCTCTCTCCCTCTTCCTCTGCTCTTCCCTGGCCCTCTCTCTCATAAATAAATGACCTTTTTTTTTTTTTTGAAGAGTAGTGCTAATTAAGGAGCCTAATCTACAGTGAGTTAAGGTGAACAAAATCCACTGTGGAATGAAGGACATTAACCTAGTATATGAGTGGGAAATAAAATAAAAGGATGTCCTATTATTTTAAAACGTTTAATGCACATCACTTGGATAGATATTTCATTCCATTTTATTGATGTGAGTAGGATTTTTGCAACACTGTGTTGAAAAGTCTTCCACTCCTGTTTGCTAACTAGGAAAACTTAACAATTATGGGAGGCAAAAATTCCTAATGGTTTCTTTAGATCTCTTCCTCCATAAGCCCGTTTTCAGGGTGGGTATTAGATAATTAATAATTTTTTTAAAACCAATTTTTCTTATTTCTCTAGCATTGGCTGTGACATCTAACAGCTACAGTAAATGCTCTGCCACTGGTGAGAAGGGACAGGAGGAGGAAATAACAGACGCACATTAAAATTAATAGGCCAGGAGGAAACTAGCATTTATTTAGTACATATTACATGCCATGTACTTCATTAGCATTATTCCATTTAATGCAAACCCACTGTGAAGTAAATAAGATTGGCTGAAGTCTCATAGATTAGCAACCTAGTTACAGAGCTGTTAGCTAACCTGCTTAAGGACACAGAGCTAATTAAAAAGTTGTGCAGGTGAGGATCAGGACCTATTTGATTCCCAGGCCCACAGGTATCGTAAGGCACCACAAAGTCAGCAGCAGAATATGAAGCCATCTAGCAAAACAAAACAAATCAAAACAAAAAACAAAACAAAACAAAACAAAAACAACAACAACAACAAAAACCCAAACCAACCCAAACCTATTTGTGCCAATGATGAGAGCCACCACATGCTCTAAGTAGGCGATGGGAAGGGTAAATGACTCCTAAAAAGAAACAGGATCTTGCTTTGCTCTTGCTTCTGATAAATCCCTGTTTTCTAAATGTGTATCTGGAAAACGTTTTTTTTTTTTTGTCATAGAAAAGAAAACGCACGATTTCCCAGCAACCTTTCAATAAGACCCAATATTTGAGTGTTTATGAAAATCCCTTTAATGATTTATACTAAATAACTAGATAATAGCTAAAATATAATGCATATAAGGTCAGATGTACATCTGATCTTATAGTACATCAACAATTTTAATATGACTGTGTGTATGTGTATGTATTTGGGTGTATATGATATGTGTGCATGTGTCTATAAACTTTTTTTACTTGTCAAAATTTCTGGC